CACACACACACACACACACACACACACACACACACACACACACACACAAACACAAACACACAAGTAAATAAATAAATAAATAAAAACAGCCAGACTAAAAGATCAACATGTACAAATTTGTTGTACTGCAAATCAATAACAACTTTATATTGGCCATTATTTTAAGGGGAACTAAAATGAATTAGAGCATTAGTTTCCTGATTGAGTAGTTGTAACTCTTGAGATGTTCAGTGCTTTATCATTTTGTAGATAGTATCAGTAATATTTCTTTAATATTTAAATGAATCTATCTCACACTAGTAGGATCTATGAACCTTAATAGATCATTTCAGCAGTTCATAATTTGTGTTAAGAGACACCACAAACATAAATGTGTCTGAGGAATATTTTTATTTGATTTATTGTAGTTATTTATTAGATGTACAGTATGATTTCTGGCTGCAAACTTGTATTTGTATCTAGTACTTTATATTCTTGTAGAGCTGTTATAGATCATTGACAATTATGTAATGACCACAGAAAAGTATGAATATGAGCCAAATTCTCACTAGCTTCAACATCGCTCATAACAATCTTAACAATGAGAAAAACTTCACTCATATTTAATATACAGTACATTTATGCCTAATTGCCATTAATTCCACAGCAAAAAACATTAAAAATCTTTTTATAAGGAATTCTGTATTGATAAGGGTCAGCGCCACAGCAAAATAAAAGCCGCCACACCTTCGGAAAGAAAGTTTTTTTTTTTAAATCAACGTAAAACAGGGGTTGACACAACCATTGTTTAGGTTGTTTGAGACAACCTATTTTCATTTTGGACAACCAGATGTAGAAAAGTCCTAGATTAAAATTTTCTTTGGGTGTTGGTCATTGTAAAAATAAACCAGAGAAAAAAAAACTTGTTAAAGCTGTCTATGGGATTAAACTGACGGTTCTTTCATCCAGTAAAGAGAACCAGAGTCAAAGTTTTACCCAATCAGACAGTGCTGCCTTTTTTTTCTTTCTCTGTGTGTAGGGGGTCAGTTTCCCTCAGCTCAGGTGAACACCTCCTGTGAAAGGCCTCAGCGTTTCCCTGGACTATTTTCCACCAAGGATTACGTTGTATTTATTTTTCTAAAGCGCATTTCGCAGCATTTCCCCTATAACACTGTGTGGTCACGAGCACAACAAAACCGCGACAGATCACTTGAAAAAAATCTTTATTTAACCAAAACAGAAACACGTGGTCCAAAAATAAAAAGTACTCTGTGAAATGATCAATCAGGATTTATTGCAATTGCAAGACCCACACCATGTCACACAGGGCAGTGGTACATAGAATGTGTGCCATGAGGCAGTGTCAAATACTCGCATTTATACATTATGTTTTCCAAGAGAGACAATAAACATCTTTCCTGGCATCGAAGCTTGGCCAAGGAGAGAATGATGTTGGATAAACAGCAACAAGAATGATTACTTCTAAACAGATACCGTCCCGATCTTACAATACTTTGTCCGAGAGAAAACAGAAGATAAAGTTTGGAATCATAAAACATGATGTAATTTTAAGGTATATAAAAGAGGTCACTGATGCGTGGCCCGAGAAGAATGTAGGACTTTAAAGGATAATTTATTTTTCCAAGACACTGTTTTTAAAGCAAGGGGCAGCGACTGCAGCAGCTACACCTCTCCACGCACAGCGCTGCTCCGACCAGCCTGGGACTTCAGAGTCCACATGTCAACCCCTCCAGAAGTTTAAATTTATAATGAGCATCAAATATCCCTAATTTATGCAAGAAATCAGTATTAATCACATGCGGGTGGGGTGGAGGTGCAGGCGGACCACAGCCACGTGTGGTGGGGGGCTTTTAAAGATGTGTCTATGTTTGACTTCCATTTTTTTCTGAAATCTCAGAATTCTGAGTCAGCTTCAGGTGTTTGTAATTAATAATAAATATCCAAATATGGTTTTAATAAATCTCCCCATTTATTGTCCACCCCCCAACAATAAAATGGAATTTCCATCCCCGCTCCCACTGGCATTTATTCACTCAATAAAACCTTTAACTTCATTTGTGTGTACTCACACACAAACATGTGATTTCATTCAAATTGTTTGTACTGGAACATGTGTTTGCAGAACAAAGTACAAGTTTGGATTGATTTCTAACAGGAGACAAGGATTTGAGAGTGTATTATCCCAAATGAGTTTCAGATTGTCGACAAAAAGAGTCAAAGTACAAGACAGAAAACAAAAGATAAGAGGAATAAATGGGTCAATAAATGTTAGTGTTTTTCTCACAATGCACAGATTGATTTTTTGCCTTCTTGTTTAACTGCTCCTTTGATTTGATTTGACTCATACACATTTTATAATTTCTTTCTCCTGTCTGTACATTTCTCATTTACAGATCCCTGATTGCCTATCAAGAAAAGAAGGCCTGCATTAAATTTGGCATATTTCCGTCAAACCTCGTTTCACAGCAAAATGTCTATAAGCTTTTGAGCAAGACTCAATATTCTCTCTTATGGCCCATCACACACAGTCACCATGAAATCCTGTAGGTGGCTCTGTAAATGGAAAACAAATTAGATGATGTGCTCTCAGCATCTAAACTATGTTCTTTCAAGTTATCTCCAGAGTAGATTTGTTTTCATTTGGATAGCTAGATGGCTGCAATTTTAAGGCAGAAACGTCCAATTGAAAGTTGAAGATGAGACTTGTGACATAATTTTACGAGACGTAAACAGATGCTAGGTGCCACAGTCTCTTGAAAAGAGTGAACGTGTCAGCAGATTTTTGAAAAGGAAATTTAAGATAACAGGGCAAGAAGAAATAGACATAACAAACTCCCAAAAAGGGGTTTCCTCTGAGCTCTAAGAGAGAGCAAAAGAAGAAAAAAAAAACATGTTTTGATATCAAATAAGACCCATGGGGTTCTGCAGGCTATGAGGGAGACAGATACAGTCAGATCTTAGGCTTGTTTTTATAACTTCCCAGCAGGTGTGAGCCCATCTGTATTTGTCTGTGATGTGTGTCTAACAAAGCTCTAAAAACATTGCTGTTTAGACTGCAACAGGAGAATAAGCCCATCTCTACCCCTACAGCATGTAAATAGAGACATAAATTGTGATTCTCAACAGAGCAGTGACAGTCCAAATGCTAATCCCACCACCACTTAGCACAAATGCTGCTGTCTGTAAATTACATTTAAATTAATTAATTCAAATTAATTGCTTTATTAATTTTAAAAAAATCACTAATTTTGTGTAAGGACAAATTAGCTTCATGATACAGTTGTTGCACAAATACTGTTTCAAAAAGAAATTGAATAAAAACAGAAAAGTATCAATAACTAAGTGGCATAGGCAGAACATATGGGGAAATGTAAGAATGGGCTCAGGTCTACAGCTTCTTATGAATATTTATATAATCCAGCCAAAATTAAGTTTCATTATMAACAAGAAAAACAATCTCAACTTCTCTATCCACTAGCATTTTCCTACTATTTCAACCTTTAGTATGTGTTTGTCTCTGACTGGCGAATTTAGCAAACATCCAATCCAGTCCAATCCAACTTTATTATAAAGCACTTTTTCACCATAGAAGACCAAATCAGCACTCACTTTCAAACAAGCATTACAGTGAGTAAAAATTCAGTTTAAAGAGCATACTAAAAATCTGCTGCTAAAAAGTGTGTCAAACACACAATCTCTGAGTTTACGAAGTCGCACAACAAATCAAAAATCTTACTAAAACCTTTGACATGTGAGGACCTTTTACAATCACAGTTTCAATTCTTGTATCAACAGCTACAAACTTATTATTTAATGATTGTAGATCTTTGTGTTTACATCTAATGAAATGAGAAATCTGTGGCCCAGAACCATCTTCAAATTAAAGCCAAACCTAATAATCTAAATGATTAGCTTAATTACTCTTTTTGAACTTTAGATGATGTTGGTGTTGTATTGTAAGTTGTCAGAAAGTGATTACTTACGATCTAAGCCATTGATGTACTTCATGGTGATTTCACAATGTCCCCATACAGCACTGACAACAGGATACAGCTTCTTTCCTTTTAAGCCTCGAAATGCTACTCCTAGATACTGTCCATCCACCATAAAGCTTAGCGTTCCTTCGTCCATGTCYAGAATCACAAGGAGCGAGTCCGGTAAGGTGAATGACTCCTCCGGCTCCAGAAAACAAGGATATGAAGGCAGCGAGCTGTGAGATCGGTTCTTACTGTCATGGTAGAGCCTGTTACGCCCCAGATCCCAGCCCCAGGACTCACAGTCTGATCCCACTAACGCTGTGTACCCAACAGAATGTAAAGGAGCATCAGAAGTGGCCACACCAACCACAGCGTGGGTGCCTCGCTGGCGAGCAGGCCAGTGGATCTTCCACACATGAAGACCCCGCGTGTATCCCACCCGCCCTCTGATGCAGTCTGTGCTCTGAGCAACTGGGTGGCGGTGAAACGTCAACTTATCGTCCTCTTTGATGAAAATATTGAGCGAGCGGTCATCAGGGTTCCACGCGTGACGGAGCTGGGTGTCTAGTCCAGCGCATGGCATGTCCAGTAAAAGGTCCAGCCTGGGTGGCTTGGAGAAATCCGGACCCCTTAGCTCCAGGTGTTGCCGACGATGAGAAGTGGGTCGGTATGACGGGGAGCTGCCACTTTCTCCTCGACCATCCACTGATTTAATGCTTCCAGAGATCTTCTGTCCCATGGCTGAGATGGAAAGGGTGACAGAAGGAGGGGTGGGGGTGTGGGGGTGAAGGTGCAGGTGGGTGCTGCAAAGTGGGGAGCTTGACGTTACCTCATCAATGCGGTGAAGTTGAGGTGAGAGTTCCTGACAGGAAGGTGAATAAATGAGATGAGGGAGGATGCAATGAACGGGAGATATATCTGATTTGGTTTCATGCCACAGCTGTCTTCATCAGGAGCTGTTGCTTCTCCTGTGAAAAAATGACAGAAAATAGATGTTAGATTCCTTGACTCATTCATTGTTTTCAGCAAAACAACAACAATGCATAAAATGGCAAAGAAAATAACTAACATTGTCAGGAATTCTGGTGTTGTATGACATTTATTTCTTATCGCAGATCAGTTTATTTAACATTTGTGTTTTCATCTGATTGTCAGCCGATATTAAAACACGTATTTCTTACAATTGAATAAAGAAAAAGGACAAAAATACTGCAACACTGTTTCCAATTGTTGCCCCCCCCAACCCCCCCCCCCTTTTTTTTTGCATGACCAACAATTATGACTTTCACAATCACAGACAAACACAGCCTTAAATACACAAACGCCTTGTCTGACACATCCCAACTCATGTTGCAACAATGCTCTTCTTAAATGTGTCCCTGATGTGCAAAGTTGCCCACATCTGAACCTGGAAAACCCTCATTTAGCTAATCTAATTTTAATGAGTATTACTGAGACAGCAAAAAATATTTGCAGAAAACAAGGAGTTGTGCTGATAATGTATTTACAGAGTGCAACACACCTGACAATGTCAGCAGGATTTAATCAGTTCTTATCCTCACTGAGACAGACGTCATGATGTGACAATTGATTGTGCTGTCACCTACATAAAAGTACTTGTTTACGCAATTACGTCAAATGCAAGCAAGAAATACCCCCAGTTTTATTTTTAGAATGCACTTCTCAACTTTACATCAGTTTCACTGCAGATCTTACTTTCCGGTGTGGGTGATAAAAGTTCAGTATTTAGTTATTTTTATACAAATTTACTTTCAGTTTCTGTGTATGTGGCTTTAAATCTATAAGACACAATGATAAAATGGTGTTGTTTGTTGACTTTAAATTGTAAACGATCATTAAAATGTTCTGTCCGACGATGCTTGTTTGCTTATACTGTACAATCACTTAAGAAATTAATAAAAGTGCATATGTACGTATGTGTGTATGTACATGTAGGTATATATGTATGTATGTATATACATATACATAAAATCAGTATGTTCTTAATCTAAACCAAAGTTAGGTGCCAGCTTCATCACATAGTTCAAGATTTCCTCATTCAGCCAACAAACACTGCTCTTTAACACTTTATTTTAGCAAATGAAGGCAGTGCAGAAGAGAATCTCACTCCCACCCACACACAGTTTTGTGTGGTTAAACTGGCATTGTGATCTCTTCCAGGAATGACAGCTCAAGCTTCCTCTTCACAGGAGGAGTCATAGAGGCAGAAGCAAATGACACAACTCTGTATGTCTCTAAGGTTTGTGTTTATTTATGCCACAAGCCACAAAACATAGATATATTTTTATTTTGGGTGTGTGAGTACTCTGAACTGACATCTCTTCTGGTAATATGGTATGACACCTTGAAATGAATGATGCATGCCATTATTTTGTAGGTGTCAACACTGCAGTGAGTGTAGGATATGTTCAAATAGGTTCATTACAAAATTCAAAGCTGTTCTGCTGTTCACAATACAACTATTCATAAAAGCTCTTTATCAAAGGGTTCACCTTTACATAGGTCACTACTTTTTCAAGTTAGAAATGTCCTCAATAAAATTCTTTCAGTTCAATAAAAACTTTGTGAACATTAATATCTTACTTGTATAACTTTTTTAACATTCTCAGTTTGGAGATACAGAGTTTAATTCTGACCTGCCTGATGAGAATAAATAGTTTAGGGCCATAACCAAAGCGGACATAAGAAAACAGAATATAACCTATGGTTAAATACATGGCATTATGAAGTTATCATAACATGACTGAATTTAGTATTGACTTTTAAACATGACTGAATTTAGTATTGACTTTTAAACATGACTGAATTTAGTATTGACTTTTAAAATGAACTAAAACGAGTAACCAGAAACACAGTTGTACAAGTACAAAAGTCTCACTCTGGCTACTTGCACTTTTCCCCAACCCTGACTCTGTTTTTTTTCTTTCACTTTGAATAAGGTCATAGCAGCTGGCAGCCATCATGACTAATGTCTGCCACTACTCAGTTCATCACCAGACACACACACACACATAGACACACATATAAAAGAGACAGCTGCCGGTGTGTGCGTGTGTGTGTCATCCTGGCTGGCAGGTGAGTAAAGGGTGAATGTTGCATGGGGGATTTGAACGTCACCGCTGCCAAACTTCATCCAAAGACAAACACACTTTAACACTGTACATACTTTCCGAGTGTCTGCCTGTGTGTTTCAGCTGACCTCGTCTAGAGCAGCATGTGGCAGACAATCTGGCATTTTGCCCTGTCATCAAGGAGGCACTTGACCTTTGACCCTGTGTTGTCACGGTCATGGTTGCATTGTAACGTCGCAAGAGGCTGGTGGTGGGCAGGCGCATCGTCTGCTGTTGGGGAAACATGCTTCTGCCATCTGTTGTTTACTTTGCTTGCCTTCTTTCTTCTTGACATTTCTTTCAAAAAGCTCTTTCACTCATTCACACTCCCTTCAACTCTACCTTAGGCTGGGATGGAAAGATACAAAATGAGCATTGATATTATATTTTAATGTGACAAATTCATCATCATTTATTATTGATTGATTATACTTTTGATTGTGATCATGTTAGACATTAGTCACAATCATTTCTAACACAAATTGTTAATCACTGTCTAACTGAAGGTCTTTCAATCATGTAAGATGAGCAGCTGTTCTTTAGACTCAAAGGATTACTTGATCAAACATTTAGCAGCAATGTGAGAGGAAGAGATCGGATCATTGCAAAGACAGACAATGAGAAAATAAACAGAAGCTGACATGTTTTTCAAAATCCTTATCAAAAAGTAGTAAAGCGTGACATTAGACGGCAGGTAGAGTGCAGACAGACTGTGGTGTGCACCTGGTGAGTGGGCTGGTTTCATCTGGCTTCTCCTGCTTCACCAGTAACAAGCTTCAGAAGGCTGTGTGTGTGTTCGCTGTGTGCCATTGTATAAAGGGAGGACATTGTGCCCGACTGTCTATCCATCCCACAGACTGTGTTTTATTGAAACTGGTCCAGTAAACTCTGACTGAGCAGGCAGGCTTTGAAGTCACACAAACACAGCAGCACACACGCAGACAGGAGCCTGCAGGGTGGGGAAACACTTATTCATCTTCCACCCTCTCTCACGACAGGACAGAGATATCGGAGGGCTTCCCCTCCACACTGAAATAATATCAAGCTCTCCACAGGACTCCAATACAGCACATTTATGTATGAACTCAAAATTATAATTAGCAGCGGTAAAGTTTCCTCTCGGTTTTTCTTGCTGAGTATATGTACATTAGAATGAACTGTGTGCAGACAACTGCATGTTCGTGTCTCAAACGGTCAGTCAAGGACAACCAGAGAGCCTAAAACCCACAAAGGATGAGGCCTAATAGCTTGACAATGATTCAGCCTTCCTGTTTCTCAGCCTTCTCATTCATGATGTCCCAGACTGTGCACATGTCTGTGTGTGCGTGTGTCTGGGTCAGCTTAGTCCAAGTCATATCCCTGGCCACCTGCAAACAGCGACAACTGAGGTAACAGCTATTGCCTTTCCCCACAAACACTGTACAATCAGCTTCATTTGATATGCATTAAATGCTTGACATCTTAAAAATATTCCATTTTGTCCAACCATTAAGTTGACCAATAACACTCAGATCAGTGTGTTCAGTCCAAATCTTTGGTCAGCAGCTGATAGTTAGATTAAAAATTGTATTAACTGGTTTGTGGTGAGGACACACTTTTATTTTCAACACGAAGCCAGGTTAACTTTTCCCCAAGTATCCAGTAGTGGCAAATTAACTTAAGAGATTAGTTATTTATTTATTTAAATACTTTAAAACCCCTATTAATCATAATCTGACTTCATAAAGACAAAGTCACTTTTAAAGTCCAAATGCTAATGACTTGCTTTGAGACTGCTGAATGGAAAAATTATGGCTTGCGACAAAGTCAAATACCTATTCAATCAAACTAAAAGATTTCTTGATTTTTCACTGAAACGTCAAGAGCCTGAGAAGAAACACGGTTTTGTTGAAGGTATCGCACATCCTACATTCATTTAGAGGTGGATGTGTTTTTTACGGGTGAAAATTTTTGTGTGGGAAAAAATATAGAACAGCTGCTGGAAATGATGCAAGCAGAATTTGTTAAAATACAAACTTGGTTTAAATTAAATAAATTATCACTAAATTTGGATAAAACTAACTACATGATATTCAGCAAAAAAAAAGTCATTGATATTCCATTTAGACTTGAGGGTGTTGAGATTAGTAGAGTCAGTGAGGTGAAGTTTTTGGGTGTCATTATCGATGAAAAGCTGTCATGGAAACCWCATAWAAATCACTTAAGAATAAAAWTATCCAAATCTATAGCAGTACTGTATAATGTAAGGTACTTATTTAATGACAAAGCTTTGTTTATATTATATAATGCAATAATTGTTCCACATTTGATCTATTGTATTGAAGTCTGGGGAAAAGCATGCAAAACAATTACAAATCCCATCTTTATTTTACAGAAAAGAGCTATAAGAATTATTACCAGAAAACATTACAGTCATCCTTCAAATATATTATTTTATCAATTGGAATTATTAAAATTTTGTGAGTTAGTTGATTATAATATTTTGCAGGTCATGTATAAAGCACATAAAAATCTATTACCTTTTAATATCCAATTAAATTTTGCAAAAAGAGTAAGTAATTACAATCTCAAAGGGCTAGAGATATTTGTAAAGCCCAAGATTAGAACAGATTTAAAAGACCGGTGTACTTCAGTACAAGGAATAAGGTTGTGGAATAATCTGGAGAGTGGTTACAAAAATGCTGGCTCTCTAAGTCTGTTTAAGAAAATGATAAAAGCTAGTTTGTTGAAGAAATATGAATTCCTGTAATGAGCATTCATGAGAATTGTCGCTCAGGAGTGAGTTGAAGTTTTTTGTTATGCTGTTGGAAGACTATTGTTTTAATTTATTTACTGTT